TGTTCTCTTATCAGTCACATGGTCCGCGTTTTTCCCGCTCTGGCAGAGTATACATTTTGACATGATTTCTATAACAAGAATATGATACATTTGACAAAGAAGTGATTAGAATAAACGTTTCAAGCATGAATTCTTAAACTCACACATACTAAACAAGAATGTGATCCTATAAGCTATTCAATAGTTATTAAAAATTCATTCACAATAAATGATTAAGACCAGATCAGTCACATGTGGGTTACATGCATAATATGGAGTTATTACATAGCAATGATTAGCTGCTCACAACAAGTCCTTTTAGTGTCATTTAGATGCATATTTACATGGAAATGCAGTTTCTTTGGCATTCTGTGGACGTAAGGATGCGTTCTGTGAAGACCAGAGAGGTTAAAATGTCTGTAAGGAATTTCAGTCTGTTCTGTCTCCTAAGTGGGGGGAAAAGTCAATCCGAAGAGCTTGTGATCACTATCACATGTTTCCATGTGATGGTCACGCTATGCATCTCTTTTGACCATTATTCTTGATAACTTGCCCCCAAAATTGACATTCTCCTTGGAATTGACAATAAGTGATCCTTTGCTTTAATGTTGAAAGCTGTTCTGTGAAAGAGTCGGTTAGGCTTGCTTCAAACTGGCTAGGGTCTGATTTATGACATCCTGTTGTCTTGGGCCTCTGTGGAATTTGGACTCCTCGTTTCAACCATGTTTTGACCAAATCTTAGATTGTCTGATTCGGTCTGATATCCTACACACAATATTAACTATAGCAAATTTGGAGTCTCTAATTCAAACTCTCTAGCACCACCAACAGGCCAAATTTGCACTCATGTTTTTGCTAATACATTTTGAACCGTAAGGGGTAGAAACAAAACAATTTTTGCTTCTGATTCCTTAGATCATGAACTGAATCAAATGTATATTATAGTTTGAATTTTTGTAGGTGTTGGTGTTTCGCAATTTAGAATTTTCTGAAAAACCTACTTTTTCAAACTCATCCCAGACGGTTTGTCCAAAATTGGTTCAGACCAGTGTTGGCAAAAAGTTATTAAAAGATTTTCAATAGACTAAAGTGTTCTTGTAAAGCATTAATGTATTAATGAATTTTTATGATGTTTGAGCAGAAATAGATATGAGGCTAATATTTGCAATGTTTTAGCAGATTCTGACCAAACTTGGTACTTGTATGACCTGCGGGCACATAAGTAGTTTCGACCACCTACTGGTCAAAATATATAAAAATTTGACATTTTTGTTTATAACATCTGAATAGGTTGGCTAAAAATTGTAAGATTGGTCTCATTAGAATCAGAGCAGCATACCGCATCGAACAGTACACATTTTTCCACATAGCTCCTCTGCTATCAACGAGAAGAACATCTGTACTTCCTCAACAGGGGGAACAACCACTTTTTGGTTGTTTAAAAAAGGTGCGCTCGTTCAAAACAGTTGTGTTCAATCCTTCGCTGGCTGTGCTGATTTAAATCTAGTGGTTCTTTTGTGTTTGTGTCGCAAGTTCAGTGACGCAGGTAGTAACGATTCTCTCCGGCCAATCCGTGATCAGCAGAGTTTACACGTCACATTTTGGTAACGGTACGGTACGCTTGGAACCCCAACCGAGGTGGTACTAAAAAAAGTACCAGGTACTGTACCCAGTGGAAAACCCCCCAAAAGTGAACTGTACTGAGCCGTACCATGCCGTACCATGCAGTGGAAAAGCACCACAAGTTACTTCAGCACGGCAGTCATGCTGCGTGCTCTCACACAGGTGCAGCGTTTATGTGCAAGAGAAAGTGCGTGACAAAGTGAGTTACTTCGATGTATATTGTTAATTACCTAGATTATTACAGTGTACCACAATTGTGTTAACTTCGACAGTGTTTATGATGTTATTGAAGTTTAGCGATCTTTCTGAGTGTAATTTGATCCTGTTTAACGAGCGGCTTAGCCCCGTTAGCATCGCAATGTGCATTGTTCATGTTTACAACTGTATTACATTTAAGGGTAACATTTTTATGGTGATAATACCTTTCAACGACCATTAATACTACCATCTGTATTAATGATACAGTCCCATTTCTATATATAACTTATATTTCATTGTTTGTAATCTTACTATGCAGATTGTTATTCTCACAGAGATATTGCTGATATATTTCTCAGTTTATATTCTATATATCAGTGCACTTTATTGTTTGTTTATTATAGAGTTTGTGATATGTTGAGTCATTGGTTATATTTGAACAATGAATATTTATATCTGTTGTTTTATTTATTTCAGAAACTACCTCAAATACACTAACATGTGTATAAGGTCAAATCTTGTACAATAAACGGTCAAACTCAATATGATGACTCGACTGACTCCCTGACAAGAGTTCTGCAGCGGTCAATAATTATTAACCAGCATTTAGTGGGGCAATCCCCAATACTGTTGCTGAGTGATAAGTGATATGTATCTGCATCTGCTGATACATATAGACATCTGACGAGTCATAGCACTAGAGCGGAGGCGAGAAAGCTGCGGAGAATCCGCTCACCCAGAAGCAACCGTAACTGGTAGATTTAAAGAAAATTCCTGCCGTTTGGCAAATAAATAATTTTACATACTTATTCCTAACTCTTTAAGCTTTAAGTTACATTTCAAATGACAAGGGATACATTTATAATTCATTATATGAATTATCCTGTGAACTTGTTCTCTCAAATGGCCTGGACAACTTATACACAGTATAAGATATAACAACTTATATGGATGGAACGCCACTGATATATATATATATATATATATATGATCCAAAGTAACTAGCAACTCAGTCTGTTTTTTTTTACTCCCACTTTACTCTTACTCAAGTAACTATTAAGATTATTACTTTTGGTGGAGTCACGTGATGCTCTCGACCTAAGTGGCAAGGTTTCACTGAGCTCCCACGACCATTGCGCTATTTTCATATTTTAACATTGAACAATTTCATTTGCAGCATTTAACTCCTAAGCATGTCAGGAACTGGTCCCTAGGGCTGTCCTCGACTAAGGATTTTTCTGGTCGACTAGTTGTCGTTCATTTTAAGCATTAGTCGACTAATCGCACGTTTATAAATAAACCATTTAAATCATTATTATGAGCCTTTAGTTGCCTACGTAGCCTAATATGCGCTCAAGCACACGAATAAAGCTTGCCACAGCAGTCCGGCAGAAGTAATGGTTATGAATGTGTCAGTGGAAAACAGTAAGGAGACTGCATTAACATTTTAATAATTTGATAAACTAGTGCTTTCTTTGTTTTCGGTTTAAGAGATGAATTCGGCGACACTGACTCATCATCTCCGCAGTAGTGTCGCCTGTGTGCATGTTTCATACGGATTACATAATCTGAGAATATTTGTTTTCCATTTGAATTGGTTTATTTGAAAGTAGATATTTCACTCTCTATAGATAGCCTATATATTTGTCCGTAAGGTAAAGATATACACAGTGTTTCGCGCTCAAGTTCACAAAGAACGAGGCAGAAAGAGCATCATGTTTGCTTTCATTATTTCACAAAAGCGTGATTTGTTGTTATTGTGAGGGCACACAAATAAACGTAGAGTCTTTACAAATTTGAAAGATGTATTACTCTTATCTGTATTAAAAATGACCAGTATTTTAAGAGCAAGTGAGCGCACCGGCGCCTCCATCTGTCATCATGCAGTGAGCGCGCTGCTGTTCAGTTTCCGCACAGATGAATAGCGGACATTTCTCCTGGTTAACATTAGATTGAGCGGCCATGTAAAGTTGCTAATTCTTACATATTTCAGATGATAAGCCATATTTGAGGTCGATGAATGATAGGCGAGCGCTTGGATGTCCTGACCGATGTACTGTATTACCACAAAGACCAGCTGTTAACGATCTGTTAGTCACGGACTGTGTGACTTCGCCTGTGTTTTTTTTCTTTTTCTGCGACTAATAAAATTTTGGTCGACCAAGCCTCTTCTGGTCGACTAACTATTAGTCGACTATTAGGGGGCAGCTCTACCAGTCCCGCAGCCTTCCAACAAGAAACTAGACAGGGCCGCATGACAACAAAGGGCCAATCGGCAGCTAATCAAGGTAATAAAGATGGCGGTTCAGTTCCTCAACCGAACAGTCCAGCCTAGCACAGGCTGTTACTGATAATTTAAGTGCCCTCCTGGACATGAAATTCATTCGTCTCGAGTCGACCTTAGACTCAATTACAAGCCGTTTAGAGGATAACACGAAACGTATCATGGAAGCTGAGAGTCGCGTTTCCCAGACTGAAGACAAAGTGGCGGAACTTCACAACAAGATAGTGGTGCTGGAAAGAACTGTACAGTCCCGCTCGGAGAGAGCAGAGGACGCCAAAAAGCAGCCGGCGAGACAATATTCGCAACATAGGCTTGAAAGAAGGCGCGGAGGGTCACAGACCTGTTGAATTTTTCCAGACTTGGCTGCCTAAGATGCTGGGAATTGAAACCAAACATGGGGCTGTTAAAATTGACCTGGCACATAGAACACTTGGTCCGCTCAAACCCAACCGCAAACACCCTGTGTTGATTAAGCTTCACAACTACTCCGATAAGGCTAAAATACTGGCAGCTGCTAAGAAGAAGGATCATCTCACATATGAGAGCAGTGATATTTTTATTACACAGGATCTGTCAGTCAAGGTCAGGGAGGCGAGACGGGATGAGCATACAACGACATCTGCAGTCAGCTCATTCAAAGAGGAGACAGTTTCGTGATGCGCTACCTCTGCTTTAACTTTAACGGATCAGACTACTCCTTCCAATGTGCACAAGATGCAGGCATTTCTGAGCAGGTTGGACTAACATTGTACTGATTACACAAATGGATGGGAGGAGCATGGTGTCCCTTTTTTTACAGTAGGTAAACATATGGATGGACAGATACTTTAAAGACGGTTTTCACTGTTCATTTAAAGACTTTGTTCCTGATTCATTACTGTTCTGCGCTGAGTGATTTACGGTGCATGTAAAGACCTTTTTTTTTTTTACATTTTCATTGTTCTGTAATGAGCAATGTTATTATTTTTTCCCATTTGAAGTGTCCGGCTTAGAGCTCATACAGTATTTTATAGCTGCTTAGTTACTGTTATGCAAGATTTTGCGCAATG